GTCCTCTTGAGGCAGGCTACATCGAGTTCTGCTGAGACCGGGTACAATCGAAACTTCTTGAGGCCGGGTACGATCGAGTCCCTTATGATACCGGGTATAGAGTGATGAAAATTTACCTCAAAGTGTGGCAGAAGATATATATATATATATATATATATATATATATATATATATATATATATATATATATATATATATATATATATATGTATGTGTGTGTGTGTGTGTTATGTGTGTGTGTGTGTATAGTATCAAACAATGTATTGGCCCCAATGAGAGGCATGGTTTTACAAAATTTTGCATGCATTTACGACCCATGGTCCCCAGTTTTCCACAGTTTGGTTTACGCCCCCGGTGGCGTGTCTTCGGTATTCAGGTTGGAATCACATCCTCACATTTCTTATGCTATGACTCTGATTTACTTGTGCTTCTTAGTCTTACATACTCTTTACATTATCTTTACTGATGCCCTTTCCTTTTTGGGCATTGTGTTTATGCCAACAGGTACAGATAGACCCAGCGACACCCGTCCCCAGTAGGTGCATGATTCAGCTGTTGATTGTTGCTCTCCACTTCTTCAGAGTAGAAATTCAGAGGTCAATAGGTACCGAAGCAGATGTCATAAATATTTTGGGTACGGCGGGACCCTATCCTGACCAAGTTGTGTAATATGTAACTCTTTTGGTACTCTTAGAGGCTTGTAGACTAGTGTTAGTGTTTGGTTGCATGTAAAGGCCGGGTATGACCACGTTAGTGACAGTGATAATCATGTATAAAATGTCGATATTTTCTTTGTTAATCAGTTGTACTCATTTTAAATTTTGGTAGTCGTTAGTGAAGGCCTCAATGGTTCGCACGGGCCTCCGGACATCGTGTGCCCGTCGCACCTCCCAAGGTTGGAGTGTGACAGTTTATGTCACATGGAGTATTATGCTTAATCACTCTTCTTAATGTTATTTATTCTTCCTACCTTGTTTGGTACTGTTGTGTGTGTGTGTGTGTGAATTGCACAATTAATGTTATATGCATGCTAGGTAAGGAAGAGTGAATTGCACAAAGGGTATTTCCTTGCTTGTGAGGAAGAGTAATTTATGCACGAAGGGTGTTTTCATGTTTTTTGACATTATTATTATTGCACGAAGGATATTTTCATGCTTGATGAGGGGGAGTGATATGATATTCGCACGAAGGGTGTTCCCGTCTGGTGAGGATTAGAGTTCATGGCATGGAGGGTGTTTCCGTGTAGGCGAGGACGAGAGACAAGCATTACGTTGTGTTATCTTTCTCTCGCATTTATGCCTTTTCCCTGAGTTATTATTATTGTACTTATGCTTTCTATCTTGTTTGTTGTTGTTTTTTCTTCTATGCCTTCTACCATATTTGCTATCATTCCATCTATGTCTTCTATCTTGATATGCCATCTTCCTTTATGTAACGACTATCATAGAATCCCAGAAACCAATCTAACAACATATACATAAACCATCGACGCAACATAACATGAAAACAACACCAATCGTGGCCTCATAAGCAAGATATTATCAGAAAGGAACACCCTTAACCTAAACTGTACAAGTGATACATAATTCATAGGGAACAATTTCATAGAAACAATTACATAGCTATTCAAACAAATGAGGGTACTTTTTCTTCATTTCTTCCTCAGCCTCCCAGGCGGCCTCTTCAACCTGTTGGTTTCTCCATAGCACTTTCACGGAGGCAATTTATTTATTTCTCAACTTTTAGATTTTCCTATCAAGAATGACAACTGGGATTTCTTCATAAGTCAATTCCTCATTAACCTCAATAGTCTCAACCAGAATAATAAGTGTCGGGTCTCTAACTACCATTTTCAACATGGACACATGAAATACCGGGTGCACTAAAGACATCTGTGGTGGTAGCTCAAGCTTGTAGGCCACCTAACCAACCCTTTGAATGATTCTATATGGTCCGATATACCTCAAACTCAATTTTCCCTTCTTACCAAACCGCATTATACCCTTCATCGGGGAAACCTTTACGAATACCCAATCATCTTTTTGGAACTCCAAATCCCTATGACGTACATCCGAATAGGACTCCTGACGACTCTGGGCAAATTTTCAACCGATCCTTAATGACCTTAACCTTCTCCATAGCCTGATGCACGAGGTCTAGTCCTCAATTCTGCTTCCCTAATCTCGAACCACCCAATGGGAGATCTACATCTCCAACCATATATATCCTGGAACGGCGCCATCTGAATGCTAGCATGATAACTGTTATTGTAGGCAAATTCTATGAGCGGCAAATGATCATCCCAGCTACCCTTGAAGTCAAGAACACAAGCACGTAACATATCCTCGAGCGTTTGAATGGTCCGCTCTGCTTGCCCGTCCGTCTGTGGATGAAAGGCTGTACTAAGATTCACCTAAGTACCCAAACCTTGCTGAAATTTCTTTCAAAAAACTACCATGAATTGTGCCCCCTGACCAGAAATGATAGAAACTGGAGTGCCATGCAATCTGACTGTTCCGCTGCGTTGGTAGCCTTAACAGGTAACAAGTGTGCTGATTTCGTGAGTCGATCCACAATCCCCTAAATCGAGTCGAACTTGCGATGAGTGCGAGGTAGACCTACCACAAAGTCCGTATTGCTCATCTCCACTTCCATATTGGAATTTCTATGTTCTGTGCGAACCCACCGGGCCTTTGGTGTTCGGCCTTCACTTGCTGACAATTTGGACATCTTGCCACAAAGTCCGCTACACTCCTCTTCATATCATTCCACCAATAAACTTCCTTAAGATCATGATACATCTTTGTAGAGCCTGGGTGCATGGAATATCTGGAAGTGTGAGCCTCGATCATGATTCTTTCCCTGAGACCATCCTCATTCGGAACATACTAGTTTCTCGGCACGTGCGTTGCACGTGCATCTCAAATCATGTAGTATATGATTTTGTAAATTTTTTCAATAATTTTGAAACAAAAGCTTTGCAAATAAATGACTAACTTAAGATAAAACATAACTTCATTACCTAGTAAGATCTTTCAATGGCAATGCATTGTCTTTAATGGAACGAATGTGAAAAGAGAGAAGGCGTTTTAGAGCAAGTAAATATTAATAATTTTGCCTTTTCATCTCAAATACAAATATCTCATAACAAGAAAGAGTATTACAATGTAATACAAAACACTCCTGACAGCGTATTATATAGGTTTTAAAACATACAACACTCACATTCAGGAAAAACCAATTAAAACCCACAACTCAAACCAATCGTGTACGGCTGTACCAATTAATAATTCAAAGAAAAATTGGTTCTTACATATACACAATTGCCGTAGCAATAAGTTATAAATGATAAGTAACAAATTGAAAAAAAAAATCATATAAATGAAACTGAAATTGAAAAGGGTGGAATGATTTATAGGGTTGAGTGAGACGTATGAATTACAGGTTCAACTTTGGGCCTCATGTTTCTTATTGATGTTTTACAAAGGCATGACTTTAATCCATTTTTTCACGCCTTCAAGCTATATCTCAGTCCATAAAACAACCAGTCAGTTCTTCTGAAAGAAAAGAAAGATGATAGTTGGATCGATGATCTTATATGCTGGAACGATTTTTTGGTCCTCGTGGTTCCTTCTTTTGGAAAAATATCCATGTCAATACTATAGCACTTTATTATGACCTTCTTCAGTATCATCTTAAATATTTCAAGGACAACTCTGCATAATATTTTTGCCAAGTATAATGTCCAAAACAATAATATTTTATACGCATATAAAAAAGTCTTTTAACTATTAATGTTTTGAGATCATCATATCATACAATGAACATCTATCCTAATATTTATAGAAACCAGATTTTGAAAACCACAAAGAACATACTAATTAAATAGTGTAAAGTAAGTAGAACCCGATTTTGTCACTTTCTTCTTCAGTCGTCGCCCTGGAGTTGACATCTTCATATGAAACTATTTGATGCCAAAACACATCACATTGTGCGCGGAAAAGTAAGTTTTTATGTCTACCTCAACAAATGGTTCAGTCTTCAGTAGGCTGCAAAAGACTTGTTGCTCACTTGACATTTTTTTCGAAAAAAAATCTGCAAGAAAGTCTTGAAAAAATTGCTAGAGAAGAACAGAAATCTAAAGTTGTGCAAATTTTTCTAGGTTTGCAAATCTTCTCAATAGTCCTACTGATTGTTTTGTATCACAATGTAAAATCTATAGTGGAAGGGAGGATCCATGTGATACTTCATTAAGTTAAGAGAATATGGGTATCTGTTATGGGCTCTTAAAAGCAAATTCACGTTGCATTCAAGTTTCATTATATTGCCAAGCTAGCAGACTGCTCCAATAAAATTGTAACCGCATAAACTTTGAATTCAAATTGAATTAGACTCCTTTTAAAATCATAGTCAATTATCTAAATCGTCTCTCACTGTCGATTCAGAGCCACCTTCTCGTAATGGCACCTTTTGCAAATGAAAGTTGCTAATTGGAAGCAAAAAAACTAACGCCGTAACTATTGAGTATGGTTAATAGTTATTAACCCTTACTTGTACATTCTTTATTATTGTACAATACTCAGCTAGTAGTGTACTTGGTAGTTGATAATTAGTTGGTCAATTAGTCAATGTATATATATATACTTGTACAGTTGAGTAAATAAGATGAGGGTTCACATTTTATACAAAAATAACTTCCCGTTCATCTGCTCTCTCTACTTCTTCTTCTCTCTTCCTAGAACCTTCCATAAGACTCCATGGGAGCTCTGCAAATCTGAGCTCATTTGCTTGGTTTGTTATGGTATCGGAGAACGGGGTGTCAATTCAAGTTTCACTCATCATTTCAAAACGCTATTCTGAAATTTAGTTGAGCTTCGTCGATCTCCAGATTTTCGATCGCTGTGTTTCAACCTAATTCTGAAATTCGTCTCAAAATTGACAATCTCTGGTTCGATTAAGGACTTTACATTTCACGATTTCATCGATTTGAAACCTCACACATGGCTATCAATCAAGGTGAAGAAATGAGCCCTAGCACGAGCAGAAACGACCAATCCGTCATCGATGCTGGTAATCCCCTTTACATTCACCCTTCTGATAATCCCGGAATGACTCTAGTACCAATTCGGTTTGACGGAATTGGATATCGCTCATGGAGAAGGAGCGTGTTGCGAGCTCTGTCAGTCAAGAATAAATTAGGGTTTATAAATGGGGAATTTGTGAAACCTAGCTCCGATTCCCCTCAATCCCGCCAATGGGAGAGGTGCGACGACATGGTAACCTCGTGGATCCTCAATTCCCTCGCCAAAGAGATTTCTGATAGTGTGGAATATGTAAGCAACTCAGCTGAGTTGTGGAGGGAGTTAGAGGATCGTTATGACCAAAAGAATGGAGCGAAACTGTATCAGATTCAGAAAGAAATCAACGACCTTACACAGGGTTCCTTAGACATTACTGCGTACTACACACGTATGAAGAGACTGTGGGAGGAACTGAGCACCTTGAGTGCTAAGTCTTAGTGCAGCTGCAACTGCACATGTGGAGCAAAAGAGACCATGCACAGGCAGAACAGGATCGAAGACTTATTCAATTTCTGATGGGATTAAACGAAGTCTACACAATAGTGCGAGGGAGCATCCTCATGATGAAGCCCCTGCCTTCTATGGCTCAAGCCTTCTCTCTCTTGGTACAAGAAGAAAAACAAAGGGAATTCAAGCCCAATAATCAGCTCAATCTAGACTCTACTTCATTGCATGTGAATGCAAATCTACAACATCAAGGTTCATTTGGAAGCAGAAACTTCAGGACAAATTACACAGCAAACAATGGTAACAAAGGTCGACCATTATGTGATTACTGTAAGAAACCAGGACATACAAAAGAAAAGTGCTATAAGTTACATGGATACCCCCAAGGTAACTCTTACAATAATCAGAACTTCAATCGTGGCAATGCACAGTCATACAACCAGGGGAACAACCAGACTTACAAATTCGAAAAGGGAAAAGGATCTGTGGCAAACGTGCATGGGATTCCAGCTGATATGGTTCATGAAAATGGGGGCAGTCAAGATCTGCAGGAAAAATCAGAGTGTCAACCTGACTAAAGAGCAATAGGGCAAATAATGACCCTGCTGCAGCATTTTCAAGTAGGAAATGTGGGAGGATCTCCTAGCAATAACAACATCACTACTGGCAGTGCAAACTTTGCAGGTATTGTTGTCTGCACTTCTTCTATTGACTTTGACAAGCCCTCATGCAAATGCTTTGAATCAAAGACTAATCTTTGGATCATAGACTCAGGATCATCTAATCATATGACCTTTAACAAACATGCACTCACTAACATTACTAGATTGCCTTACCCTTTATTAATAAGCCTACCAAATGGTTATAGGGTGAAAGTTCTTGAATTTGGAGATGTGGTACTGTCTTCAGATATTTTCCTGTATAGGGTCCTTTATGTTCCATCCTTCAAATATAACTTGATTTCAGTTCACTCCCTTGCAGTACATCTTAAAGGTTTAGTATTGTTCAGTGATACTCTTTGTCTGTTGCAGGCCCCTTCAGTGAAGAGGCCTCAGGTGATTGGTAACAGCAAAGAGGGTCTGTATTATCTCTATTCCAGGTGCCTGAAGGGTAAAAGGACCACCTTACCTTTTACCGTTTCAATTTCTCATTGCAATTGCATTCCTTCTTCCAATGTAAATAGTCATGAGTCCATTAGTCATGCTCATTCACATAACACTCCTCAACCTGTAAATACTTCTATTTCAAATAATAAAAATGAGTCTTCATGTGTGCTTGGTAAAGATGATGTGAATTTTCTTTGGCATAATAGGCTTGGTCATGTTCCTTTTGTTAAAATGAAGGGTATATCATCAATCCCCACTAAATTTGCACCAAGACAACCTTTCATTTGCCCTATATGCCCTATGGCAAGACAGACCAGACTTCCATTCCCTCAAAGAACCACCACTACATCAAAACTGTTTGAGCTGGTCCACATAGATATATGGGGACCTTACCATGTAACTACTCATGATAACCACAGATATTTCCTTACCCTTGTGGATGATTTCAGTAGGTCCATTTGGACACATCTGTTAAGCTGTAAGAGTAATGCTCTTCAGGCCATAAAAGCCTTTGTAGCTATGATTGAAAATCAATTTGATACATCCATAAAAACCATTAGATCTGACAATGGCTTGGAATTTATAAGTCATGAAGCCTCTTCCTTTTATCAGTCTAAAGGAATCATACATCAAAAAACATGTCCCTACACACCACAACAAAATGGTGTAGTAGAGAGAAAGCATAAATACCTCCTGGAAACTGCCAGAGCTCTCTTGTTCCAGTCCAAACTCCCAACCAGATATTGGTGAGAGTGTATTCTGACAGCCACTTACCTGATTAATAGACTCCCAACAACATACCTTAATAACAAATGCCCCTATGAGATACTGTACCAAAAGAAGCCCAATTATACTCATTTGAGAAGCTTTGGCTGTCTTTGTTATCCTACTGTACCCAAAATATAGAGAGACAAGTTTGAACCTAGAACCAGCCCTCATATCTTTGTTGGATACCCCTTTGGGACAAAAGGATACAAAGTGCTAAGCCTAACTATCAAGAAAGTTCACATTTCTAGAGATGCCATTTTCCATGAGAATATTTTTCCTTTTTTATTGAACTCTACTGATATTTCCTTCCCTGCTGTCCTCAAAACAGTCTCACTCCCTAACTATTCTGAAGATAACAACAGTCCAGCTTCTCCTACTGACATTGTGCAAGGTCCTGAAAGTATCACATCTCCAAGGGTAGAACATCACTCTGAATCATCTATCAATAATGCACCCTCTCCTAATAGTGACAATTCACAGAGTCCACTTGCACATGAACAGTTAGAAACACCAATTCTAAGAAAATCCAACAGAATTCATCAAACTCCTACCTACCTAAAGGACTATGTTTATCAATTGCCTAAAAGTGTCACTCAGTTGTCTAATGTATCTCACTGCACCCCTTCACTAAATGCCTTGTTTTCTAGTCACCATCACATCACCTGATGCTCTATTTTCTGAAAGTCAGCACTTGATGCTAAGTGTATGTCATGATGGTGAGCCATCCTCATATGAAGAGGCAGCCCTCAATCCTGCTTGGCAACTAGCCATGACACAGGAGTTTGAGGCTCTCCATGCTAATAACACTTGGGACCTAGTTCCCTTACCACCTGGAAAGCAAGCAATTGGCTGCAGGTGGGTATATAAGATTAAGCATAAAGCAGATGGAAGTATTGAAAGGTTCAAAGCTAGGTTAGTGGTAAAGGGCTCAACAGGCTGGGATTGACTATACTGAAACTTTCTCCCCTGTTGTGAAAATAACAACTGTCAGAGTCCTGATCATAGTAGCTATTAAGAAAGGCTGGGACATATTCCAATTAGATGTAAACAATGCCTTCCTCCATGGAGACCTACATGAGGAGGTATACATGGAGGCTCCACCTGGACTTGCGGTTGATCAGTCTACTTCAAGTAAAGTAGTATGCAGGTTAAACAAGTCATTGTATGGCCTAAAACAAGCCAGTAGGCAATGGTATGCAAAGTTGACTGAAGCATTGTCTTCAAAAGGGTATCAACACTCTGAAAATGACCACTCTCTTTTCTGCAAGACAACTCCCACATCCATCATTTTTGTGGCTGTGTATGTTGATGATGTTATCATCACTGGAACTGACTCAGATGAGATTGGAAGCTTGAATGTTTTCCTTGATCAAAGGTTCAGAATAAAAGATCTGGGGAGGCTACATTATTTCTTGGGCTTGGAAGTCCTCTACAAGCATGATGGAGTTCTTATATCTCAAAGGAAGTTTACATTGGATCTGCTAAAAGAGTATCAGGTTTTTGATTATAGTAATGTCTCCTCATCTCTTGATCCCACTATCAAGCTAAAGGCACAAGAGGGGAACCTCCTACCAGATCCTACATACTATAGAAAGCTAGTAGGCAAACTTAATTTTCTCACCAATACCAGACTGGACATAGCCTATAGTGTGCAGCTCCTAAGTCAGTTCATGCAAGCCCCAAGGGACACTCACCTAACTGCAGCATTCCACCTCCTTAGGTATCTCAAAAATGATCCTAGCCTGGGTATATTCTTCTCCAACAGTCCTGATTGTTCAATCAAAGCCTATTGTGATTCAGACTGGGCTGCTTGCCCAGATTCTAGAAGATCTGTTACTGGATACATTGTTCTAGTAGGAGACAGTCCAATTAGCTGGAAATCTAAGAAGCAAGAAACTATCTCATTGTCATCAACTGAAGCAGAGTACAGGTCCCTCAGAAAAGTCATTGGGGAGTAGTGTGGTTGAGCAGGCTATTTGCAGAGCTTACTCTTGCCCAATCAGAACCAATTCAGGTGTTTCGTGACAGCCAGTCTGCTATACACATTGCACACAACCCAGTATTCCACGAGAGAACAAAGCACATTGAGGTCGACTGTCATTTTGTGAGGAACAAACTACAAGAAGGCCTCATTTCTCTTCATCATGTGAGCACTGGTAATCAACTGGGTGATATACTCACCAAGGCCCTCACAGGCGTCAAACATTCAGCTGTTCTAGGCAAGTTGGCTGTGAAGGCCTCACCTCCAACTTGAGGGGGGGGGGTATTGAGTATGGTTAATAGTTATTAACCCTTACTTGTACATTCTTTATTATAAAGAACAGTTGTGACTATTCCAAGAAAACATGAAACGCTGGCTTGGTTATTTTTTTGAGAATATTGGTTATATTTCTAAGAAGGATATTTTGGTAATTCAACTTTTAGGTTTAGGTTTCCCATTTTTATAATAATATAGATAGTCGTCCTTGGTACGTTAGTGTACCATCATCCATGCCAAGAGCAAAAGCCATGGTCTTATGTTTATGAATCCCCTCCTTCAACTGAACCAACAACGGATCGTCTCACTGCTTCCCCTTGACTTCCACAACAAGCGATGATTCAGCCCTATTTTGCACAATCACCCTTCCTTCACTAGAGTCCGCCAGACGAACTCCCAAACTAGCTAACCAATGAACCTGTATGGCCAACGGCCTTTGGTATGCCTCCAAGTGGTCCAAACTACCCATAGATTTTCGGCTAAGAGCCTCCGCCACAACATTTCCTTCCCCGGATGATATGGAATATCGATGTTGTAGTCTTTGAGTAACTCAAGCCATCTTCTTTGCCTAAGATTAAAATCCTTCTGCTTGAAAATTTATTGAATGCGCTTATGGTCTGTGAATATATCCACATGGACCCCATACAAATGATGATGCCAAATCATTAATGGCAAAACCACTGCCGCGAGCTCTACGTCATGTGTTGGATAGTTCTTCTCATGATTCTTGAGTTGCCTAGAAGCATAAGCGATCACCTTGCCATATTGCATCAATACACACCCTAGTCCGATACTCGAGGCATCACGATATACCACAAACCCATCTGTACCTTCTGGTAGGGTCACACCGGTGCTGTAGT